CAAGAAAGGGTTACTGCTTTCTCACAGATCCCACACAAAGCAGGGGGGCTCTCTGTTCCACACAGCCCCCTGGGAACCCAGGTTGACGGAAACTCCATGTTGAGGTGGCAGCATCTGGGACATGACACCCTGCTTCTGTCACAGCCATGGAGGACAGAGAGCCTGGAGAGTTTCCCTTGACCTCAGCCCTGAAGAGGCACATGTCACTTATACTCACATTTCATTGGCGAGAACTAGTCACATGACCCTGTTAAGGGCAAGGAGGGGTTGGGAATGCATTTCTATGTGTGGGTGAGCCCTATGGTACTGGCCACATGGGATGAAACTATTGAACACAAAGGAAGATTCAACCTAAAATTCAAGAGCATGTTTACTACAGGATAGGGAAGGAACTCACAGGAAGGTGTCAATGATTTGTAATGTTCTGGATCTTGGGTTGAACAATGAGTCTTCATTTTATATATCTATACATGAATGGATGAGTGAATAGATGAATGAATAACTAGAAGAAGGGACTCAGAAGCAGTGACAATTGAAGCCTAATCTCAGAGTGCAGGCCAAAAATGGCCCTTTCATAAATATTCTATGAGCTCTGGTTGAGGCCGCTAGATCTCAAAGGTACAAAGATGAATAAAATATGGGCTCCTCCCCTCCAGGTTCCCAGTCCAGGGAATGCAGTAGGCGCACAAACCAAACAAGCTGGCAAGGCACCAGAAAATGGATTGCTCACCGGGTGCTCTGGGAGCCAGAGGGAGCTCCCCCTCCCCCAACCATGAAGGCCTCCCTGGGCGGGGGGGGGGGGGGTGTCATGAGGGTTGGGTCATACAGGATCAGTAGGAGTTCAATGGGTACAGAAAGGAGTGGAGGTGGGTGGGGTAGGTTGGCCAGGATTCATTCTAGGAACAGGGGCCAATATGCACAAGGCATGATGAGCCCTTCATTCTTCAGCTGCCTGTATTCGCAGGATTTCCTCACCACCTTCTAGTCTCTGAATGACCTGATCAGCCCTTTCACACCATACTGTGCCACCCAGCACCCTCAGCGGCACCCAGGCACTCATTCTTCCCACCGGCTGCTGGGAGCATTGGTTGCTGATTGCTTACAGCTGAGTCTTTCTTCAGGCATAAGCCTCCTACGAGGGAACTCTCTTGTCCAAGGTCATGTCCCCCCTCCCTACTCCAGGGGTGGCCACATTCAAATGACTGGTCAAAGCAGGAATGTAAAGGTCTGGCCCCCTTACTTCATTTCAGGGGACTCAGCAGGGCACCCCAGCTCCAGAGCTCCCTGTAGGATCGGCTAGGGCTCGCTAGGGTCTCCAGCCTCCATTATAGTCCCATTCATCTCTCTGCTACACCCTGCTCCCTTTATACCCCACAGGTGTGGATTGTGAATGCACTCCCCAAGAAACCTCGTTCAAGAGTACCTCCACTTCAGGGCACCTGGCTGGCTCAATGGGTTAAGCATCTGACTTTGGCTGGGGTCATGGTCTCACAGTTCGTGAGTTCAAGGTCCAGTTTGTGAGTTCAAGCTCTGTATTGGGCTCTGTGCTGACAGTGCAGAGCCTGCTTGGGATTCTCTCTCTCTCTCTCTCTCTCTCCCCCTCCCCCACTTGATCTTGCTTTAAATACATAAACTTAAAAGAAAAAAGAGTATCTCCACTTCAGAGTGTGTTTTCTAGGAAATCTATCTAAGGTACCCACTAAGTGTAAGTGATTACTCAATCAGGGATGAAAATGCCGTTCCTAGAGGTATTTGTATAGCAATAATATTAACTAATATTCACAGAATGATTTCTATGAGCTAGGCACCATGCGAAGCACTTTTGCCTCTGTAAGCTTATTTAGTAAAGAATGGAATGAGCTAATGCCAAAGAGATGAATTTCTAATGGTGAAATTTCAAACTCAGGGAAGGTGAAATTGTCAGCTTAGGGAGTCTGGAAGTGTTTGTGTGTCACATATTCTGTCACAGATTTCTTTCTCTGTCATCTGTCTCATTGTCTAGTAGTCCTAATCTTTTCTATCGGCTGGGTAAAGCCCCCAGCAAGTCAGGGATAGGGCTACCGAACTCATTCTTCCTAAACACACACACACACACACACACACACACAAAACAACAACAAAAAAAAGAAGCAAGACTTCTGCTCTTCTCAGTGGTGCAATAATATTTCTGTTCTGTCTTTTTATTCTAGGGTTCCACTTCTCGGGAGCCTGTGTGAAGGTGAATTCCTCTGAAAGCCAAGCGCCCCTGTCTGGGACTCCCCAGACATTTTCTGAGAAACGGTGACATTGTTCCTAGTACTTCCTCTCCCTTCCTGAGCAGCTCCAGCAGCTACACTTATATCCTCCTTCTTCAAGCTTGGGCTTTCCACCTTTCCTTTCTGTCAGCACCTCCCTCCTGGTGGGGGGCTGGTCTGAAACTTCTTGACTCCAGAGCTGAGCCTCTCTCCATCCCTAAGCTGCCTCCTTCCTGGGGAGCATGCCCAGGCAGCAGGCTGTAGCCCTGACTGGCCCCGCAGCCATCAGGAACATGTCCCAACATGTCGAGTGCTGGCTGAGGCTGTTCTGTCCTTTGAGCTGCCTGCTTTGGGGCAAAGGGGGGTGTTAGGACACAGGAGCCACCCAAGACCCCAAGGAGACCTTGGTCTGAATTCCTATGAACAGAAATACATGGTTTGCAGCAGATCTCTTGGGACTGCCCGGGGATCTGGTGTATGTGTGTGTGTGTGTGTGTGTGTGTGTGTGTGCATTTTTTGCATCAGATCTTGGTCGTGACTTCTAACAACCCGCTCTTTCACCCTCTTCAGGGCAGAAGTCCTTCTTTAAGGGCATACCTGGCTACACACTGAAGTGTATGATTGGAAACTCTTTTTTTTTTAAAAGTATGGAACAGTATTAAGCACTTAGTAGGTGCTTAATAAATACTTGTTGAAGTCTGCTGTGGAGGTGGTGAGCTAAAAGTTATAGGGGGAAAAAAAACAGAACTCACTTCCCAACAACAACAACAACGAAAAGAATTATTTTATGGTGAAGTTCAGTATCACAAAACTTTAAATAATTCAATACAGACTTTCATTAAAAATTTTTTTTTTCCAGAGTAAACAGACAGACAATGTCAAGTCTATTTGAAATGCTTGAAAGCCAAGGGGATTCAAGGGGGGAGGAGGCTATCCTTGTCCTCTGCTGGACATTTAACAACGCAGCCTTTGGGTATGTGTATGTTGGGGCGAGGGCAGCATGGAGAAAGGGAGGAGGGAACTGGTCCTGGGGTGTTGGCCTTCTTGGGGCCTTCTGAGGTCCAGCTGCAGTCCTGGCCCAAGTCCAATATCAGGTAGGCAAGGGAGTCTGTTCTGTGTCCTCCACTCCTACCTGGGCTCCTATGCCAGCATTGAGGAGAAGACCTGTCCTCCCTGAGGTCAGCTGTGTTAGAGGAAAAAGGCCGGGCATGTCTGGGCAGAGATTTCTAGACACTGAGCAGTCCTAGATGTCAGTAATAGTAGCTGTTCCCAGCCCGAGTTCTAATTTTTTATGGGATTTTTGTCCAAATGAACATTCTGTTCTCTGCAATTTTTAAAAAAGATTTAAAGAGTTATTTTATTTTACTATTTCAGTTTATTTTTTTAAAGTAAGCTCTATGCCCAACACGGGGCTTGAACTCAGACCCCAAAATCAAGAGTCGCATGCTCTACTGACTGAGCCAGCCAATCAGTAGAGTCAGAGAACAGAGGTTGTCTGCAATTTTTTAAAAGCTCCAACTGCAAATGTTTTAGGTGAAAGGAGGCAAAATGGGGTGCAAGAGGGGCTGGGAGTGGGAACTGGGTGGGAGGAGGTGAGCACCTCACTTCTGTATCTGTAAGAAGCACCAGTGGACATTTCCAGAATTGTCTTTCATCAAAGTCACCTCAGTATCCTGCCTGAAAATGAAGGGTGCTGGGTGTTTCCCTCTTCCCAGAGCCACTGTGTAAGAGAGGGCAAGGAGCAGAAGGCTCTGGGTGGGGGGCAATAGACCTGTGCTCTAGGGGCACCTGGGTGGCTCCACTGCTCAGGAGTCTGACTTCGTCTCAGGTCATGATCTCAAGGCTTGAGCCCTACGTCAGGCTCGCTGCTGTCCAGGCAGAGCCCGCTTCAGATCCTCTGTCTCCCTTTATCTCTGCCCTTCCCCTGCTTGTGCATGCTCTCCCTCAGAAATAAATAAATATATTTTTAAAAAATAGGCTTTTGCTGCAATCATAGCTATTTATTTGCTGTGTGACCTGAGTCAGATCACTGAACTTCTCTGAGCCTCAGTCTCCTGTAGTTCTGTGGGCCTTGATTTCCTCATCTGTGCAATTAAGGGGGGGTGGATCCCCCTCCTGGCCTCCAAGATGCTTTGTTAGGGTGTCTGGGTGGGTGCATCAGGCGGTGCTTTGGGACACAGGGTCTAGTGACAGATCCGTTGGAATGGTGATGCTATAGTGCGCTTTTCTGGGAATTGCAAAGTGAGGGACTTCCTTTTTTATTACTTATGGAGTTTTATTTATTAAGGGTCACCCCTCGTGCTCTTTTTGGGGCCAGAAAGGGGGCTCCTCCTAAGAATGCCATCCCTTCCTGGGGAGTGCCAACTCACATCCCAATTAAAACAACCCAGATGTGTGGCTCAGTTAGTTTCCCCACTAACTGTGTCAAGCACACAGACCCAGGGGCGGGGGGTGGGGGGTGGGGAGGTGGAGGTGGGGAGGAGGGGAGCGCCCTCCTGCAGCTAATGACATTGGCATCCGAGTTCCGAGGTTCCAGAGCGCGGCGGCCGGGAGCGCAGAGCGCTGCGCGGGGCTGGAAGGGCGGTGCGTCCCAGGCCCTCGGCGGGCGGAGCGGCGGGTCCCGCCTCCCAGCGGCAGATCCTTTATAAGGGCAGCGCCGGGCGGTGCCAGCAGAGGTGTGAGCAGCCGCTCGAGAAGGTGCCCTGGAGACCCGGAGCCGGGCGCGGATTCACGGAGCCACCGAGACCCTGAGACTAGGTGAGGGAGTCGTGGCAGGCAAGAGGGGCAGGAGCCGACCCTGGGCCGGCCGCTCTGAGCGGAGCCGAGCGTGTCCGCCTGTGTCCGTTCACGTCCGTGCGTGTGTCCTCGCGGGTGTATGGCGTGTGTGCTATCTTCACAGGTGAATGCCGTGCGTGGGTCCGTGCGCGGGTCTGGGTTTGCTCGCACGGGTGTCTCTGTAAGTGCCCGTGTGACAGAGGTCGCGCTGTGGCGGAGACTCCCGGAGGAGGGAGGGCCGGAGTTGGAGGGATCCCCTGCCGCGCTCCCCTCCCCTTGAAACAAAGCTGGGCGGAGGGGAGGCGGGGACCCGGGCGTCGCGGACCCCAGGCGCCCTTAGCCTTAGCGGCGAGCGGATGAAGCCCCGGAGCGCCGCGCTCCAGCAGGGGCGGGAACGCCGAGCCCAGCAGGTTCAACGGCGATCCGCTCCCGGGCAGTCCCCGGATCCAATAGGTGCCGTCTCCCCCCACCCCCGACGCCGCCGTGTCCGCCACCGGCTGGGTGCTGAGGTCAGCGCGGGCTGTGTCCCTGGTCCTTGGGAACGTGTTGGTACATGTCCCTCCAGGGCAATCGAGGAGGTGACTCATGGTGACAAGGAGACCCCGGGAAACGAACCGGGTGAGGTCAGAGCCCCTCCCGGGCTGGTGGGGGACAGTGGCGCCCCAGAAGTCCGCTTCCCGGCCCTCGGCGGTCTCTGACTTACCCCCCCACCCCCCCATCAGCACAGTGACCTATTTGGCTGGCACGAAGTGTTCTCAGGGAAGCCGGGGACACCAGGGGGTCCAGGACTGGGTGTGCGGTCCCCGCCTCGCCGCGCGCCCTCGAGGACGCGGAGCGGTGGCCCTGCGCGGGGCGGGTTCGCGCCAGCCAGTCGGTGTGAGAAGAGCAGGAGTCGGACACACCTCTGTTCCACCGAGCCCGCGGACCCCCCGCCCAGCCTGCCCCTGGGTCGCAGAGCCCTGCGCTGCGGGGCGGCGGGGCTTCCCGGGAGGGGAGGACGGGGGGGGGGGTGTCACAATAGGAGGGTGGGACTTCGGGGGGCGCGACGCTGCTCCGGGACTCTGCCAGCCGCATCCGGGGGCTCCCGGCGCTCCCCCCACCCAGGTGCCCTCTCTGAGGGCGACAGGTCTGAGCGGAGCCGGGGAACGAGCCGTCCTTCGGACGCCGCCGTCCTGCGCGGGCCACCGTGCACCCGCCCTGTCGGGGGCCCTCGGGGGACCCTGGCGCCCTTCTCGTTCGGAAAAGAAGCTTGGACTTACTAGGGTTTGGCACTTTTGGGCGCCCCGGCAGCTTCCCCCTCCCTTCCCCTCCCCTCCCCTCCCCTCCCCTCCCTCCACGTTGCGTTTCGAGGAGGACTTTTCGAGCGGTTTTGTTTTCCTTGCTTTCGTCTATTTTTATTTTCCAGGGATCTGACTCATGCCGTGCTTTGGGCGTGGAGATAAGGTGGAGGGCCCAAACCTCTGCGCGCCTGTGCGTGCGGTGTGTGTGTGTGTGTGTGTGTGTGTGTGTGTGTGTGTGTGTGTGTGTGTGTGTGTCACAGAGGAGCGCGCGGTTTCCCAACAGTGGCGGGGCTCTCGGAAGCCTGGCTGGCTCAGCGTGACGTGTTTGCGGCCCCTGGTTCCCCTCCGAGTCCCCCCACCCCCCCACCTCCAGAGGGTGACGCGCAGCCTGAGTGGAAGCGAAGTTTTGGCGGGTGGGGAGGGCTTTGCAGGAAACTGACTCATCACAACTCCCTGCTGCTGTCCAAGGCTCTGCCCACGCCCCGCCGAGCCTGCGCGTGATTTCCTGGCGACCAGCGCCCCCTTCCGGCCCCAGCGCGAAGAGCAAACATGCCTTCCCGCGGAAGGCGGAGTCACCCGCCTTTCCTTCCCGCTCGCTTCGGTCACTCGCCGCTTCTGCCAACGCCCCTTAACAAGAGTAATCGGTTCAGCGGTGTGTAATGAGTGCTTACTGTTTACTGCGGAATTAAAATTGTTTGAAATCTAAAGCACCAAGGCCAACAAAGGAAGCTCTTCTCGGTTACTTGCTTGTTAAACAAGGGTTTGTGTTTCTCAGCTCTCCCGGAGCTGGGAGTTAGGATAATGGGAGGGAGATCAGATTTTGATGCGGAGCCTATGAGACCAATAAGGACAGGGGCGTTAGCAGACCCGATCCCTGCCTGGATTCTGGTCTCAGCTCCTAGAAGCCAGGGAGTATCGAGCGTCCTGATAAAATCCTAGGCAGGCGCCTCCTCCGTGTGCCAGTGAGGCACTGAGACCCAGAATGTTCACTTTGGCCATCCTGTGTATCCCCTCTTGAATGGCGCCCCCAGAATGCCCATCTGGGGAACTGCCAAACACCTGCTTAAATCCCCCTTAGTTGGAGTTAAATGAATCTGGGGAAAGAGGGCCTATCAATATGGGGGTTTTTTGTTTGTTTGTTTTGGTTTGGGTTGGGTTGGTTTTTTAGAGAGAAGAGAGAGCAAGCGGGGGAGGGGCAGAGGAAAGAGAATCCCAAGCAGCCTCCACACTAAGGCAGAGACTGAAGCAGGGGCTCTATCCTTACCCTGAGATCATGACCTGAGTGGAAGTCAAGAGTCAGTGGCTCTTTTGACTGAGCCACCCAAACACCCTTGTATTATCTTCTTATCTTATCTTTGAGAGAGAGTGTGAGTGAAGAAAGGCCAGAGGGAGACAGAGAATCTTAAGCAGGGTCCATGCCCGGTGCAAGAGGCCTCAGTGTGGCTCCATCTCATGGCTGCAAGGTCATAGGACCTGAGCCAAAATCAAGAGTTTGGTGCTCGGCTGGCTGAGCCACCCAGGTGCCCCTCAATCTGTATTTGTAAAAAGCTCCCCAAGTGGGGCGCCTGGGTGGCTCAGTTAGTTAAGCACCCAACTTTGGGTCAGGTCATGATCTCAGAATCTCATGGTCAATGGGCTCCAGCCCCACGTCAGGGTCTGTGCTGACATCTCAGAGCCTGGAGCCTGCTTCGAATTCTGTGTCTGGGTTCTGTGTCTTCCTCTCTCTCTGCCCTCCCCACCTTGTACTCTCTCTCTCTCTTTCTCAAAAATAAAAAATAAACATTAAAAACAAAAGTTTCCCAAATGATTCTGCTGGGTCTGTGGCTAGTAATACAAAACTAGAGAAAGAGTAAGGATGAACACCAGAGCACAGAACCCAGGACAAACAGCCTTGGGTTCAAATCTTGGCTATGCCACTTGTGAGCTGTGTAACCTTGGGCAAGTTTCTTAATTTTCTGAGCCTTGGTTACTCATTCTGTAAAAAAAAAAAAAAAGCACATATACCCACTCTTTAGGAACAATCCCTTGGCACATAAAACTATAAAAATAAATCCCGATTCTTGCCCTGAAGAGAGTGGGCAAAGGTTATTTGAGGGCCCTGGGTAGCCCCTCTATGGGGCAGTGGCCCTTGGCCTTTTTCGTTTTCTGGTTTGGGGTTAAGCTCCCTATCTCTTCAAACTCTTGCTCTTTTAATTTGCTCTGAGGTCACCTGGTGCCTCTCCTCCCCCATCAGCTGTGAGAGGTGGGGTGGGGAAGGGTAGGTGTGCCAGGGGTCCGGTCTTCCTGCCCCAGGAGGTCACTCAGCAGAGCTTTCGCCCTCAGAGCCTGCAAAGCACGACGTGTCCTCGGGAAAACGCGGTCCCTGCCAAGGTCGCACAGCCGCTCAGCCCTGGAGTCAGGCCAGGGCAGGGCAGGTGGGTGCCAGTGCTTCGTCACGAGCAAACTCAACCTTGGTTTTCCCTCTTCTGAAGTGGGAGGAGAGGAACCGGGTAGACCGGCCACTTCTAATTTTCTTTGCCTGTAAAACGGGTTCTTTGGACGCAGCCAACATAGGACAGGGGCTCCCAGGCTGTCTAGACTTCAGATCACCTGATGTGCCTGGCAGGATGTGGCTCCGCCTGGGAGAAATCATCATCCTGCCCCGCCCTGCCCAGCCCCTCCTCGCCCCCAGGCCTCCAGCTTGATGACATCCTTGGGAAAGGCCCTCAGCACACAGCACCTGTCAGCTGCTGTCTGACAGAGGCGGTGGCCTGGGGGAGCGAGGTGGGGGGAGGCTCAGCCAGAACCGAGCACTGAACGAAATAATAACCCTTCTGTGTTCCAAGCACTTCTGTATACCAGGTGCTTCTCTAAGCATGTTCCCTGCATTAACTCAGTTAATCCTTACATGTGCCTTCTGAGACATTCACTATTACTGTCTCCATTTTCCAGATGAGAAAAATCGAGTTGCTGAGAGGTTGAGCCATTTGTCTAGGGTCACCCAGCAGAGCCTGGATTCCAGCCCAGGCGGTCCAGCTCCAGAGCCCTCACTCTTAACCACAAGATACAGCCTCTCCGCTCTGTTCCAATTGCCTTGCCTGAAGGGACTCCCTGACCTATTGCTTGAGGCTGCTTCCATAGCTCCATTTTATAGATGAGAAAGCTGAGGCCCAGAGATATTAAATGACATTTTATTTTTACAATTTTTATTTTTACATTATATATTATATAATTATATATTACAAATTTATAAACATTTTTGTTAATGTTTATTTATTTATTTATTTATTTTAATATTTTTATTTATTTCTAGGAGAGAGAGAGAGACAGCGTGAGCAGGGGAGGGTCAGAGAGAGAGGGAGTCACAGACCGAAACAGGCTCCAGGCTCCGAGCTGGCAGTCAGCACAGAGCCCGACGCGGGGCTCGAACCCACGAACCGCGAGATCATGACCTAAGTGAAAGTCGGACGCTTAACCGACTAAGCCACCCAGGCGCCCCAATGTTTATTTATTTTTGAGAGAGAGAGAGAGTGAGACAGAGCATGAGCTGGGAAAGGGCAGAGAGAGAGGGAGATACAGAATCTGAAGCAGGTTCCAGGCTCTGAGCTGTCAGTACAGTGCCCAACGCCGGGCTTGAACTCACAAACTTCGAGATTGTGACCTGACCTAAAGTTGGATGCGTCACAGACTGAGCTTACCTAGGTGCCCCTTCTTGTAATTTTTAAATTAAAAAAATTTTTTAAGTGACTGCTTATTTTATTTAAAGTTTATTTTTGAAGAGACAGACAGCATGAGTTGGGGAGGCGCACAGAGAGAGGGAGAGAGAGAATCACAAGCAGGCTCCTCGCTGCCAGCACAGAGCCCCATGTGGGGCTCAAAGTCAGGAAACCATGAGATCATGACCTGAGCCAAAACTAAGAGTCAGGCACTTAACCGACTGAGCCACCCAGGTGCCCCTTTAAGTGACTTTTAAAATTTTAGGTAGCAGGCAGCGAGCTAGGACTGGATCCTAGGTATCTGTTATCCCAGTGACCAGGGTACTTTTGTGTTTCAGAACAGGGTTATCCCACATGGGCCTCTGGGTCAAGGGGTTCAGGAGGCCAGCGAAGCTGTCCGCCTGTCCTTTCATAATGCAGAGTACTAACCACTATATGATCACGGCCCTTTCAATCTGGTACCTGACCTTTTGGCCTGGGCCGCGGCTGGGAAACTACCGGACTCTGGCAATTCACACATACTAGGGGCATTCGCGCCCATGAGGGACACCTTGGGGGGGAAAGAAATTGATTTTAGTTGATAAAGCCAGGTGGTAAACAGGACTCTGATCCTTGCTATTGCAGTAAACTTGTCTTTGTCAACATAAGCCTGTCCTTCAGCAGCTCACTCCCCCAGTGACCTTGGGGTACCAGGGTAACCTAGCTCTGCCCCCACCCCGTGGCTGTGGGCTGGGGCCTGGGGGCGGCCTGTGGGAAGGCAGTGTGGAAAAGCGGCTGGAAGGAAGCAAAGAGCCCTCACATTCCAGTGTGAAGACTCCCTCCGGGCAGAGCGTGGCCCGGTAAGGTAGGGTCCAGTTTCCCGAGTGACCAGGGCCTTCCCGTGTCTCGGCTGCAGGTGCCATGGCAGAGCCGTCCGGGGATGCCCACCAGGTCCCGCATGGCAGCAAGGCCTGCCGCCGCCTCTTCGGGCCCGTGGACAGTGAGCAGCTGCGTCGAGACTGTGACGCGCTAATGGCGGGCTGCGTGCAGGAGGCCCGCGAGCGATGGAACTTCGACTTCGTCACCGAGACACCGCTGGAGGGCGACTTTGCCTGGGAGCGTGTGTGGGGCCTGGGCCTGCCCAAGCTCTACCTGCCCGCGGGGCCCCGGGGGGGCCGGGATGACCTGGGAGGGGGCAAGCGGCCCAGCACCTCGCCTGCCCTGCTGCAGGGGACAGCTCAGGAGGACCACCTGGACCTGTCCCTGTCCTGCACTGTCATGCCTCACCCCCCTGAGCGGCCTGAGGCGTCTCCGGGTGCACCTGGCACCTCTCAGGGCCGAAGACGGCGGCAGACCAGCATGACAGGTGAGGCTAGGTGTGGGGAAGGGCACTGTAAGGGATCAAGACTCAATCTGCGGTGCAAGGGCTGACCTCCCTGGCCCAGGGGAAGCAAGCCCAGACAGACAAAGCACCTTGCCTGAGGTCACACGCAAGTCTACAGCCAAGACCAACTAGCTAACATCTACTGGGGACATCTGTTAGACGGCAGGCCCTCCACTTAGGTGGATTTCTAGGGTGGATTTCATTTAGTCCTTAGAGCAGCCCTATCCCATATGACCTTCTTGCCACTCTTTTATAGGAGTGGAAATAAGGCTCAGAGAGGTAGCGTGGCTTGCCTACGGTCCCACAGTGAATTTGCAGTGGAGAGAAAACTAATGACAGTAATTTCCTGGGTGCCCTATCCAAATCTAACTCGCCTTCCCCATCACACACACACACACACACACACACACACACACACACACATTTCCCATCCACCCTCCCCTGCCAATTTTGTTCTCTTTGGCTTTTTTTTTTTTTTTTTTTTACTATTAACAGCTACTTCCTTGTCCTGATATTGTCTGTCTGCCCCATGATGTTATTATCTCCATGAAAAGGGATCTCTATCTCCCTCATTGCTGGATTTCCAGCACCTAGGACAGCGTCCGGCACACAGTAGGTGCTTGATTAAAAAAAAAAATGGATGAGCGACGCTCACATTTGAGCATTTACTGTCCCAGGCCCTAGACCAGAGCCTTTAGAGAGGGCGTTTCATTCAGTCCTTAGGGCACCACACCAATGGTCATCTTCATTTTATATGTAAGGAAACTGAGGCTCAGGGAGGTGCAGTCAAGAATCCTGTGGCGAATTTGCAGCTGGATCAGAACTGACAATACTGAAGATACTAGCTCACATGGATATGGCCCAGTCATCATGCAGGACACTTTTCATGGATTATCCAATTGCATTCCTATAGCACTGCTATTCAGTAGAATTCTGCAGTGATGCAAATGTCCAGTGCCACTAGCCAAAATGTAGCCATTGAGCATTTGACATGGGGCCGGTGTGACTGAGGAACTGAAGTTTTCATATTATTTGAGTCTAATTAATTTAACTATGGGCTACTGGCTACTGTGGTAGCAGCCTGGCTTGAAGCAGGCCCACGGATGTTGGTCTGGTTATCATCCGTCATGTCTGGGAAGCGTGGAGGCCCTGTATAGTGGTCCCCTGGGAGACAGAGTGAGAGTTGCCAGAGTTTTCCCTGTACTTGGCCATGTGCCCCTTTGGCCTTAGGGAGGGGTCCCTGACCCTCTGCTCTGTGCTTTGGATGGGTGGCTCCGCTGGGCCCCTCTCCCTCCCGGCCTGGCTGACTTCTGTTCTCTCTTCCCAGATTTCTATCACTCCAAACGCCGGCTGATCTTCTCCAAGAGGAAGCCCTGATCTGCCCACTGGAAGCCTCAAGCTCCTAGAAATGAGCTCCCGACCCCCCCTCCCCCCCCGTCCCCACCCCTACAAGCCTCTTCTCCACCTTTGCCCTTAGCCCTTCAATTTGTGCGTTTTAATTATTATTTGTGTTTTAATTTAAACTCCTACTCATGTACATACCGTGCTTGCCACCACCCTCCCCCCCGCCCCGCCTCTAGCAATTCCAATTATTTAAAAAACCAGTAGCAGAATGATAGGCTTATTAGAGTGCTAAGTATTTTTATTATGCAAACTGTTATTTAAGACGTCTTTATCCTGTGCTCCCCATTTCCGCTCTCCCAGAGGTAAGGTGGGGCCGGCGTGACCCTCACCTTCTGGGTGGTGCTCCCTGGAGGGGTCTGCCTCCTTGTGCTCACCACCCCATGGGTGTTTTGAAATTTCTGCCCCTTTCCTGCGTTCTCAAACCTGAATTCTTTATAATTTGAGAAGTAAACAGATAGCACTTTGAAGGGGGCCCAGCAGGGTGGGGGCGTCATCAACCCTTTGGAGTCCCCTCCCCTTCCCTAAGGTTGGGCAGGGTGACCTTGAAGTGGGCACAGCCCGGAACATGGCTAGGAACGTGGCACTTTCCTGTCCCTTGGTGCCCCACCCTGCCCTGTGAAGGCGTGGGCGAAGGTAGGGTCCTGTAGCAGACCACCCCACCTCCTCTCGCCCCCTCTGCCACCCACAGAGGGGCCAGTCTCAATGTTTGGCCTCCCCTGCACTTTTCTAGGGGCTCCAGATGCCCAGCTGGGCTTTCAAGCCCCTCTCTGCTCCCCTCCCCTCCCCTCCCCCATACCCTTTCCCTCTACTACCCTCTGGGCCCTAGGTGGCAGCTCTGGGGTGCCTGTGCCCCCAGCTTAGTGAGCGGGAAGGAAAGACGTGTGCTAGAAGTAGGGGTCCCCAGTTCTACCTCAGGCAGCTCAAACAGCGACCACATTTTCCTCTTACCTTCCCGGGCAGAGGTTCTGGGTGGTCCGACAGGCCTTCTTGAGTGGGGATCTCTGTCAGGAGTATGTCACGGGGAGCAGATTTTTCGAGGAGGAAGAGTGTGACGCCAGCCTCTGGAATGCATCCAAGGACCTTCCCCGCTGCCCCACCCTCCCCCATTTCATTGCACTTTGAATCGCAGCTGAACAAGGAGTCAGATGTTTTAAGACAGTAAGGTAGAGGCTGTGGACAGGGTAGGCTACGTGGGTGAATACGGCCCTGGGAGTCGTGACTTATTGTCTTTCCCAGCACTGAACATTGAGCCCATGGAGGCACCGAGGGACTTAGTGCGTCTGACCCCAAACACCCAAAGTTCCTATAATATGCTGGCCTGGACTGTTTTCTCCCGGCTCCTCCTATCTCCACCTAGACTGTAAGCCTCTGAAGGGCAGGGAACAAGTCCTCTACTGCTCTGCGTCCTTCGTAGCCCCTCAATAAATGCTGGGTCCACAGCAGGTGCTCAATAAATGTTTCCTGATGATTTTAGTTGTAATATTACCATGGTGGCCAATATGCCTTGTCATTTATAAGAATAAGTGAGCAGATGTTCTTTTGGTTGTGTGTTTTGGTTTGTTTTTTTTTTTTACACAATTCTAACAATTAAGCATTTAAAGTTTAAAAATACAGAGAGCTTCACAAACGGACCATGAGGCAAAAAAAGCAGACGACAATAAAACAAACACAATAAACATCAGGCCTCTGCAAAGATCGTCACAGTCAATATTTTGGTTCATTGTGTGGTCTTTTTTAGTAAGGGATATGTTACTCACCAGGGACCCGCAGATCATTACTCACTACGGAAATGCACATTAAAACCACAGTAAGATAACACTGTACACCTACCAGAATGACTAACGTGAAAAAGACTGACAAGGCCAAGCGTGGGCAAGCATCGGGAACAACCGGAAGTCTTAAACCCTGCTGCCGGAAGTATAAAATATTTGAACTACTTTAGGAAACAGGCAATCCCTTCTAAAGATGGCTTCCCTCGTGCCTACCCCGTGACACGACACTCCCATTCCCGTTTGTTCTCACGAGAAATCACTACACATTTCTACCAGAAGACACGTTCATAGCAGCGTTATTCTTGACAGACCCAAGCTGGGAACATCCCAACTGTCCACAACAAGAATGGATGTGCAAATTGTGGTATCTTTCTACCGTGGGGGTATTACACAAGGTTAAAAAGAACAAAGTAGTTTATGTGCACGTTTCTGATGATCTATTCATAACTGACCACTCCAAGACTTAGTGGCTTAAAACAATAACCCGTGTTTGCTCCTGATTCTGCAATTTGGTCAAAAACTACTTTTCGAATATGGGGTAGTTCTCTGCTGTGTGGGGCATGGCTTTGCTCTAGAACCCGAAGGGTATGAGGTAGGGCTCTCCCACTGGGGCTTTTCAGAGACTTCACACTGCCCACTTATCTGCTACGGATATTTCTAGTACCACGGGACACACGGGGTCGTATGTCCCAAGGGCTTGTCCCATAGCACGGACCTGTCACAGAGCCCTCTTTTGTTCTGGACTCCACTCAAACGTGGCAGCTCCCCACGTCATCCGGTAAATGGGCCAGAGCATTCGTATAAGGCCTCCCAAGTCCAATGTGGCTCACTAAAGCTCCACCTCTTCTGAGGGGGAGCGGTCCACAGCACTTGTCTTTTCCTATAAAGGCTGTGTAGACTATTCTAGCAAAGATACCATGTCTGACATAATGGCTGCCATTAGGGCTACTACGTGGATAATCACCAATTGCCATGCTTCGTTTGGTTATTATAGGAGCAGTATGGGGTGATGGAAGGGGGATTTGATGGGGACCGCCGTGCATCCTGCAGGGCTTTGAGAGGAACACTAGACTCTGCACTTCCCATGGTATGTGGTGTTGCTTCTGATTCACTCTCCTGACTAGTGGGATAACTTTAGAGACTTCCATTCAGTCCTTCTTTCCATTAGTGGCTCTCATTCTGTAGATAACGGAACCGACCAGTGCTCATTCTGCCAACTGCTAAATATATCCACCCCAATTTGCACTCAGGGGCTAGGAAATAACTACAGAGTGTGTCCACAGGCCTACTGGACTCTGAGAGGAACCCGGCAAGGACTCCATTATCCCCCAGCCTCACATGTCCCCCTACACTAAAAGGAGGCCATATGGTATTTTGGGTCACCTGGTACCAGTATAAGCTCAGACTCTGTATCCAATAGACCTCAAAAGACCTGGTTATTCCCTTTTCCACACTGTACAGCTATTCCGGTGTCTAGCTGGAGGGCACTTCGAGGGGAAAGATGGAGGAAATATTTATTTAATATACTTACAGTGACATTATGGGTCTTTTTCTTCAGTCAGTGAGTCTGGGTCTGAGAACTGGCTCAAATACGGAGCTGGGTGAGAGATTGCAATTTTTCTTTCCTTTTTAAAAAAATTGTTTAAACATTGTATTTATTTTTGAGAGACAGAGCACACGCGAGGGAGGGGCAGAGAGAGGGAGACATAGAATCTGAAGCAGGCTCCAGGCTCTGACCTGCCGGCACAGAGCCCAACGTGGGGCTCGAACCCACAAACTGTGAGATCATGACCTGAGATGAAGTCAGACGCTTAACTGACTGAGCCACCCAGGCGCCCCAGGCTCCTTCTTTTAAGTCACAAATATAACAAGGGCCAGTTTTGATGATCATCTGTCTAACGTGGTTCTGAATGCTTTATGTGGTTTATAGCATTTAATCCTTACAACAAACCTATGAGCGGGACACTATTATTACCTCTGTTTTACAGTTGAGAAACTGAGGGAGTAAGCCCTTACGTCACTTGCCTGAGGCCACGCCTCTAGGAAGTGGTGGGGAGCCAGGACATTCATGCTGGTGACCCCGGTGACATTGCCTGCTTGATCCATAAACCAGAAAGGGGAAGTGCCTCCCGCAGGGCCACTACCTTCATGACCACTCCCTGGAGGCCCTGGGCACCTGTCTCCACTAGGTCCCTCCTCTGTCTCTGAAGTAACTCAGGTTTTCAAATGCAAATTTGAACCAAGCTCCCCCGCCCCGGTTTCCCACCAGGGAACCCTCCTAAGCCTAGAGACTAGAGATGGCGTGGAGCCCGCAGCGGACCCAGGTCCCCACGTCCACGCTGTGCCTCAGGACAGAGAGTATTTAGCCTCGGCGTTTCCTAAACTGTGAGGTGAATGCAAGCATCTTTGGGGACTTGAAAACCTGCGAGTGTGAAACGTCCCCATTGATAAAACAGTCTCACTGTCTCGGACCGTTGTTCATTCAGTCAGTTTTTGTAAAGTGTAGTTTGAGCGCAGTGTTTTTAAGCCCAGCGGCACCGTATTTTAAAATTAGCTGTGCTGTTTCCAGAAAGGCCCGGATCTAACTTTTTTCTCGGCACTTGGCTCCGGCCTCCTGCTGGCTGGTCTCCCGGCAGATTCTCCCCTGGGGCTGAGCTCTGACCACTCGGGCTCCATCAGGGAGGCCTGGGGCCATCCCTGGCTTCCCCGTGCCCATTTTCTTTCCATGGTTGGGGGGGGGGCGGTGAGGATGCAGGGCAGATGACCTGACATACTGGGGGCTGGGTCTAAAAAATCAAACATCACTCTGTTCCCAGGAAGTGGAGAGAGCCCCTCACTGCTGAGAAAAAGGTCTTGGATTTGTTGCAGTGGCCTCACCAGCAGCAAACGATGTTGGTCCTACCTTCAAAATACATCAGGGGCGCCTGGGTGACTCAGTCCAACTCTTGGTTTCAGCTCCGGTCATGATCTCACGGTTTGTGAGTTTGAGCCCCGCATGGGGCTCTGCACTGACAGTGCAGAGCCTGCTTGGGATTCTCTCTCTCTCTACCCCTCCCTTGTTTACTCCCTCTCAAAATAAATAAATAAACTTAAGAGAATATTTAAAAAATTATATCCAGAGTCCACGGCTACCCTCCTGGTCCAAATCATCGCTTCTTGTGTGAATTATCCTAACAGCCTCCTCACTGGTCTCCCTGCTTCTGCCCTTGCCTAGGACAGTCTATTATCCAGTGAAGACAGCCAGAGGGTTACTTTTAAGACCTCTGGCTTCCACCTCACTTATGGTAAGAACCCAGGTCCTTACATGGCCCACAGGTCCTCCTGTCTGTTACTTGTGACCTCATCTTCTCCACTCTTCCCTCCATTACCTGCTCCAGCCACACAGGTCTCCTCACTGTTACTCATGTACACAGAACACGCTCCTGCCTCAGGGCCTTTGCACCCACTGTTCCCTCTCCTGAACACTCTTCTTCCAGACCTTCTTCCTTGTAAGCTCTATTCCAACATCACCTCCTCATCCAGGCCTCCCCCAGCCACCCCATCTAAAATATACTTCCCTCCATTCACTTTGCTTTACTGTTCTTTGTAGCCCTTATTACATATTTCCTCCTTTGTAGCCCTTATTATGTATCCCACCCCACCTCGGTTTTGTGTCCTCAGTGCCTAGCACAGTGTCTGGCACATATTAGGTGCTCAACAAATATTTTTGAATTAAAAAAATGAATGCCTTAGAGTGCCTGGGTGTCTCATTCGGTTAAGCATCCGACATCGGCTCAGGTCATGATCTCATGTCATGGTCCATGAGTTCGAGCCTGCATCGGGCTCTGTGCTGACAGCTCAGAGCCTGGAGCCTGCTTTAGGTTCTGTGTCTCCCTCTCTCTCTGCCCCTCCCCCACTCATGCTCTGTTTCTCTCTGTCTCAATAATAAATAAACATAAAATTTTTTTTAATGAATGCCTTATTTAGTTTAATAAAGCTATAGAAACTCTCTGGGTATCAATTTCCTCACCTGTAAAAATGGGGTAAAAAGGATGGTTCATTGTGAGAATATCGGTTTATTTAGAAATTACATTTGTTAAATTTCAAACCTTATTGTTTTGAAATAATTTCAGGCACAGAAAAATTGCAAAAATAGTAAAATAAGTCCCATATACATGTTAATGTTTTATCACATTTCCCGCATCACTCTCTCTCTGAATGTGTACAAATTATTCTTTTTCTTTTCTTTTTTTTTTCAAATGTTAATTTACTTATTTTTAGAGAGAGGGAGAGTTTGTGGGCACTGGGGGGAGGGGCAGAGAGAGAAGGAGAGAGAGAATCCCAAGCGGGCTCCATGTTGTCAGTGCAGAGCCCAAAACGGGGCTTGATTCCACCAACTGTGAGATCATGACCTGAGCTGAAATCAAGAGTTAGACGCTTAACTGACTGAGCCACCCAGGTGCCCTTGAACACATAGAAATTATTCTTTTATTTATTATTAAAATTTTTTTAATGTTTATTTTTAGAGAGAGAGAGAGAGCAAGCCCATGCAAGCGGGGGAGGGGTAGAGGGAGAGGGAGACAGAGGGCCCAAGGCGGGCCCTGCACTGACAGCAGAGAGCCCAATGCAGAGCTCAAACACGAACTGTGAGATCATGACCTGAGCCAAAATCAGACGGACACTTAACCAACTGAGCCACCCAGACTCCCCTTAAATTTATTTTTCAGCAGGTAATATATCAAGATGGTACAAAATAAACAGCGAAACATGTTTCCCTCCTTCATCCCAACACTTCTCTCCAGCCTAACTGCTACCAGGTTCTCGTATATCCTGTCAGAAATCTTAGGCGCATTTACAACCGTGCAGGGATGCACATGCATTTACAGGGCACACATTTCATCCACACACCTTTTCCTTCATGCAAAGCATACTACACTCATTGCTCTGCACCTTGCTGGTTTTACTCAACGATCTATTTTGAAGGTCTTCACACTGGTCCACCTGTATCCTTTTCATTTTCTTCACAGCTGCCTCGTAGGCCCTCCACGGACATATTTGAGCTTTAATCAGTTCCCTGTTGGTGGAAATTTAGTTTGTTTCCAGTCCTTTGCTACTGTAGACAATGCAGTAGTGAAATCTTTCTATATCGTCATTTGGCGCATCACCTGTAGGACAAATGACTAAAAGTGAAATTGCTGAGTAAAAAGCTCCTTCCTTTTTAGTGTTGACAGTCTCCCCACATTGCTTTTCAGGAAAGCTACACCAGTTTATGTTCTTCCTTACAATGTGTGAAAATGTTTCCCTGCATCCTTTACAACACAGCATGCTATCAATTAAAAAAAATTTTTTTAACATTTATTCATTTTTGAGAGAGAGAAAGAGAGACAGACTGTGAGCAGGATAGGGGTAGAGAGAGAGAGGGAGACACAGAATCTGAAGCAGGCTCCAGGCTCCAAGCTGTTAGCACAGAGCCTGACGCAGGGCTCAAACTCACAAACCGAGATCATGACCTGAGCCGAAGTCGGATGCCCAACTGACTGAGCCACCCAGGCACCTCTCAGTTTTATTTTATTTATTTATTTTTTTGCTTTGTATATTGAAGAACTTAAAATATTACATTGTAGTTTCATTTTGTTTTATTTTTTAATTTTTTAAATGCTTATTTTTGAGAGAAAGTGAAAGAGAGAGTCGGGGAGGGGCAGAGAGAGAGGAACACGGAATCTGAAGCAGGCTCCAGGCTCTGAGCTGTCAGTACAGAACCTGACTCAGGGCTTGAGCTCACAAACCGTGAGATCATGACCTGAGCTGAAGTCAGACACTAAACTGACAGCCACCCAGGCCCCTGCATTTCTTTTATTATAAGTGAAAATGAATATTTTTCACATGTTGAAAAGCCATTGGTATTTTTTTTCTCCCACAAATTGTCTCTTTATTGATGGTCCCAATTTCTCTATAGGAACTTATTATCTAAAGAGGAAATGAGCTTATTTTCTGTGACATGGGAATATTTCTTCACAGTTCGTTTGCCTTTTGACTTGTCAGTGGTTAATGGGTTTTTTTGTGTTTTTTTTTTGGCCGTTCAGTCATTTATTTTTTATTCTAAAATTTCTGTGTCATCAATTATGTCAATCTTTTCTTTTATGGCTTCTAGATCTTTGTGATAGGCCTGGAATGGCCTTGCCTGCTCCAGGATTGTTTAAAAAACTATCCCATGATTTCTTACCACATCTGTTGAAACATACACGAGAGTTGAGAGAATAGAATGAGTCAGTGCTGCCCTTGCCAACTTCAACAGTAACCAGAGCAGGGCCGGGGCCTTAGTTCATCTGTCCGCCGCCCCTAAACCCCCGCCATTACTTTGAAACCTATCCCAAACATATAATTTTATGGTTTTTTAATGCTTGAACTTATACCATCTGGAGTTATTTTGTTTTATTATTTTTAAACGATTTTATGTATTTCTTTATTTTTAAATGTTTATTTATTTATTTTGAGAGAGAGAGAGCATGAGCAGGGAAGGCACAAAGAAAGGGAAAGAGAGCTCTGTGCTGTCAATGCAGAGCCCAATGCGGGGCTCGAACTCACGAACTGTGAGATCATGACTTGAGTCGAAATCAAGAGTCAGATGCTTAACATAGCCATGCAGGGGCCCCTAGATTTTATTTAATGTTAGGCAACATCTACACCCAACTGGGGGCTTGAACTGAATCCTGAGATCAAGAGTTGCATGCTCTACCGACTGAGCCAGCCAGGCGCCCCCCTCTAGAACGATCTTAGAGTTAGAGCCCCAACTTTGCTTTTTGGAGATAGCTAGTCCATTCTCCAAATGGTTTATTGAGTAAACCATCTTTTTTAAAAATCTTTTTTTAAATCTTTATTTATTTTTGAGGGGGGAGGGGCAGGGAGGGGGTGGACAGAGGATCTGAAGCAGGCTCTGCGCTGATAGCAGCGAGCCCAATGCAGGGCTTGAACTCAGGAACTGTGAGATCACCACCTGAGCCAAAATCAGACGCTCAACCGACTAAGCCACCGGGGTGCCCCTTGAGTAAACTGTCTTTTATCCACAGATTTGAACTGCCACTTGTAACATACATTAAATTCCCATATGCATTTGTGTCTATTCCTGTCTATTCTGTTCCACTGATTCATCCCTGTATATTCATGCTCTGAGACCACACTCTTCTGCTGGTTGTAGCTCCACAATACATTTCGGTACTAAGTTAGGCTATTCTCCAAAGGATGATTTGGATGTAAGCCTCCCCTGGTTATTTGCGGACACCGTCTGAGACACGATGTACAGTTACCCCAGGACAGTCCGTACACCAGCCTTAGCCATAACCATGTCCCATGGACACTCTAGCTTGGATAAGGCATAGCATCACGCTGGCAACCAGACACTTGGGTCCAAGTCCTGGCTTTGCCACTGACAGCCGGGTGACCCTGAGCAGCCCACCTTACCCTTCAGAGCCCCTGCTTAGAACTAGCCCCTCCCTGCTAGTTCCCGTGCTCTGCAGCTCTAAGATTTTAGGGAGAGGGGCCTGGGGAGTATCAGCCCAGATTATGAAAGGACAGCCGGTGCTCACTTCTACAGGAAGTCCTGTAGATAACACAGGAGATTGGCTTGCTGGGGAACGGAAAGGGCGATTAAGCAAGAGACAAGACTGTTAACAGTTCCAGAGCTCGTGGGCTCCTGGGGGCAACGGTTACCCCACCACCAGGTCCAGGAGGCCAGCACTGGGTGCCCGACCGGGAGCCTTTGAGAGGTGGGAGTCACCAGCGTGGCAATGCTTTCTTTTCTTTAGGAGGGGTGGGGATGGGGGAAGGAGCAGTGGTCCCCATCTGGCTCCTGTGACGAGGGTGCAAAGGTCTGAGCCCTCTTTTCTTGAGAAATGGGAGCTCCCTGCATGGTCTGATGAAGACACTTGGAGGGGGACTGGGATAGATCGCCTCCCTCAGATGGCTGCGTGACCCTGGGCAAGTCACCCAGCTTCTCAGAGCCTTGGTTTCACTATCGAGTCAGCGAGGGGAAGAGAGAGGGTGAGTAGACCAGAGCCAGGCACTCAGTGGTCTCTCAGACCCACCATGCTCGACAATTTGGGTTCTGTGGCTGTCACTATTATTTTCAGTTATTGGAGAAAGTGAGGTGAAGGGCAGAAGGGGCATCTCCTTGCCCCTTTGGTGAGAAGAAGATGGAGTTAGGGAAGCCGTATGCTAGCTGTCGCCTACCCCATTTTTTTAAATGTTTATTTATTTTTGAGACAAAGACAGAGTGCAAGCAGGGGAGGGACAGAGAGAGAGAGAGAGACAGAATCCGAAGCAGGCTCCAGGCTCTGAGCCGTTAGCACAGAGCCCGACGGGGGCTCGAACCCACAGACCGTGAGATCATGACCTGAGCCGAAGTCGGACACTTAACTGACTGAGCCACCCAGTCGCCCCCCCCTCTATTTTTCTTAAGTGGCTCTCCGCTCCCTGACCCAAAGCACGTAGTGCCTGCTCCCCTAACCCAGTCCCACAATGGTTCCTATAGATGCCTGGGAGTGGGATCCCTTCTCCCTCGAATTTGGCTTCCACATTTGTGTGGTTGCTTGGGCGAGGGAGGTGGGGAGAGGTGGTAAGGCTGAGGGTGTGTGTGCGTGTTCCTGGTCATGAGGGGCGCTGACTGTCAAGGGTGTGAGGTAGCGATGATGGGGGTGGGGGGGTGCCAGAGGATGGAGGGGTCCCCCTGCTGGCTGACTCGGAGAGGTGTTGTCCTGAGTGACTGCCAGCGGGCAGGGGCCTTCGCCGCGCCCATGACCTGTGAGGGGTTGTCCTGTCAGACCCATGAGGGAGGGGTCAGTGGTGGCTGAGCAGGAGCTGGCTGACAGGGAGCATGTGTGTGAGTGACCCGCTGCCTCTGAGGGGTCACGCCTGGCCACGAAGGGGACGCAGCTGTTTTAAGGGTTGCTGCAAGGCCATGAACGGGGAGTTGGCCATCCCCGACTGGAGGTGTTTGTACTTGGAGGCAGGGCTGGTGGCGCGCGCGGCATCTGCTGCCCTTCTACCCCGGGGCCTCCTGCCAGGCAGGGGGTGGTGCCTCCGGGCGGCCCTCCAGGGAAAGGACTGGGTACTCGGGCTGTAGCTGAGTGGGAGCCGGTGAAGTGTCCAGAAGCTGCTGCCTTCTTATAAAATGCCAGGGAACTGTTGGAAACAGGCCATGGTGACGCAGTTCGACCAGGAGCTCCCTGGAACGGATGTCAAGAACAACCCCTATCCTGGGATACGGCCACAGGGAATTTGTTTTGGGATTCTCATCTCCTTCACTCACAGGAGCCTGACAGGCTCAGTGATAAGGCGCCCGTATCATTATAAACCCTTCCCCCAGGGCTTTGGTTCTAGAAGCTTCCGCTCTGAGAGTCTTATCTTGCTGCCTCGTGCGTGTTATCTCCATCGGCGGAAATACACGTGCAACTTGAGTTTCCAAGCCTCACACCTACAAGCGAGGCCTGACTGCTTGGCCCTGCTCCAAAGCCCTCGTCTCACGCATAGGTTGCAGTCGTCTGTGGCCCGCAGAGGGGCCTTCGGCCCACCCAGGGGGAGCCTCTCTGGGAAGTGGTCTTGGGGAAAGCCCGTCGCACACAAACCAGCAAAGTGGATCCTGGGCCAGTTCCACTACTGGTGTCATGGCCAGGGCAGGTCTCTTGCTACTCAGAGCCCCCCCTCCCTCAGTTTCCTCATATGTCAAGTGGGAATCAATGGAATCTGTCCAGTACCTGGCTTTTATGAGGCTCAAATGGAATTTCGCCCCCACCTAATGGTGTCACCCCTATTATCAATGCCTCCTTCACTGTGTGCCAGGTACTGCTGTGAGTGCTTCCGGTGAGCCATGTAGTCAACAAGTATTTGCTGAACACCAGCTGTATGCAAAACACTGCTTGAGGCATTCGGTAATTAGATGAACGCAGTAAACAAAAGAGCACACTTTCAACTCATGGGAGGCTTATATTTCAGTAAGAGTCGAAGATGGGAAAGTGACAAAGTAAGTGACTAGAAGACTCTATTCTGAGAAGGTGACAAGTGCTAAGAGGAAGTAAAGCCAGAAAGGGAGGTGGGCTGTGCTGGGGAATGGGAGGCGGTGTTTCACCTTGAATTATCACATCTAAGCCTCACAGCAGCCCTGGGGGATAGACTATAGTCCCTTGTTCCAATGAGGAAACAGACATGGGGGGGAAAAAGGAACAGACACAGGAACGTTAAGTGACTTGCCCAAGGTCACATGGCTAACTAGCGGCAGGGCTGGGAATGGCAGACGTCTGTCTGACTCCAAAGCACTGTGACTGGAAGTCACTTCCTCCCTTGGGCCTCCTTTTCCATGCCTATGATTCAAGAGCATGGGATGGACTGCCAGGAGGAAGGGGGACCTCTTCCCAGTTCACCTAGTGGGACCATGTCATCGCCGCAGGACTGCTAGCCACGGTGCTGGAGTTCAGTCGGTGCTCAGTAAATGCTTGTCACACAAGCGCATGCTAGATCTTGGGAAGGGTCTGGGCAGAAGGCAGTCTTTGGGCAGAGTTATGCCGCGCTGCTAACTGTCTTGTGTGGGGCGGGGTGGGGGGCAGCCCTGACTTGTGGCATTTGCTGGTTCACATGGCTTAAATATTCCCACGACGGCTGATCTCAAGCCACCATACTAGGAAGAAATGTGCACAGTGGGCTTTTGCAAGCCCCTCAGATCTGATTCTGCAATTGTCATCTCCGATCTTAAAACTGCATCTGAAACAGATTTGGAAGGCCCCAAGAGAGAGAGACAAGACAGTAAGATGGAGAGAAACAAATGGAGACCAAAAAATACAGGAAGCAAGAGAAAGACTGATGGAGAGAGAGCTAGAGATTCTACTTCGTTTTGAAGGCTGAGGGATTCCACAGACTGGGGAATTGCTTCATTCAAGTCCTATGCAACCCATGCGAGAGAACTTGCCCAAAGGGAGGCTAGACCTGTGGTCCCGGCCCCTGGAATAAGCCCTCCATCCCTGGAACGGAGTCCTCTGCCCCTTCCACTCAGCCTGTCTGTGATCTTTCACCCCAGCGGAGAAAGCCCAGAGGGATCTTGTTCCTGCTGATCAGTTCCTTTGCATATGCTGTTCACTGCTTCTAAATCCCACCTGCCTCCTTTAGAGCTTGGCCGAGTCCCGTGGCCCGCAGGAAGCTGTCGGAGGGGTCTCTGTGCACAACTAGTTCCTCCCGTCCCATACAGTTCCATGTGCCTCAGATTTATGCCCCCCCCCCCCCCACCTCCCAGGACAGGCCCAAACTACACCCCTTCCAGACTCCAGACTCCCTCTCTTCTGTCCTTGGAGTCTCACCTAAACAAATCCTTATCCATCCAAATCCTTAGCAATTGGCTGACCTAAGACCTTCAACAACAGTGGGGAGGACCCCGATTAATGAATTGGACAACGCTTTCTTGAGCACCTACTGTGTGCTAAGGAGCTGGGGGCAGTGTGGAACCAAGGTGCACAGTGACATCCATAGCTGGGGCCCAGGGCATCATGGGGCCACAGACTAGGGGGCACTGAACCCTGCTTGAATCATGGTGATGGCTGCAGGGAAGGCTTCTTGGAGGAGGTGGCCTCTTAGGTGAGGGAGGAAGAGGCATCAGTTGGGTGGGGGATAAGAGAGTCAGAGAAGCTGGGGCAGAGGAAGCAAGGTGGGAGGGAGTCTGATATTCCAGGAATGTAAGTGGTTCGCAAGGGCCAGACCTCCCCTTGTGAGAGCAGAGCAGGTGAAATAGGGCCGCATGGGGCCAGGCCCTGAGAGCTACTGATTCCCGGTGTGGTGCGTGTGTGGAAGAAGCAAGGAACTGGTGTTGAAGAGGAAAAAACAGGTTGGAGGTCAGGTGAGACAGAGGGAGAAGGTATCCCTGTCACCCCCTGCCGAGGTGAGATGTGAGCAGCAGGGGAGAAGGCTCAGGCAGCGAGATCCTGGATGACACTGTGTCCCCACCCCCCAGCTCAAAGCATAGAACGTATCCTGCACAGGCCTCTTTCAGACAATGGCTAGAGAAGCCTGCTTGCTTGCTTGCTTTTCCCTTCCTTCCTTCCTTCCTTCCTTCCTTCCTTCCTTCCTTCCTTCCTTCCTTCCTTTTTAAATATTTTTTAATATTTACTATTTAATTTTTGAGAGAGAGAGAGAGAGCGAGCAGGGGAGGGGCAAAGAGAGGGAGACACAGAGTCCAAACCAGGCTCCAGGCTCTGAGCTGTCAGCATAGAACCCAATGCAGGACTCACTCATGAACCGTGAGATCATGACCTGAGCTGAAGTTGGACGCTTAACCAACTGAGCCACCCAGGCGCCCCACCCCCCTCTTTTTAAAGTAGGCTTCATGCCCAGTGAGGAACCCAATGTGGGGCTTGAACCCACGACCCTGAGACCAAGACCTGAGCTAGATGAAGAGTCGGACCCCCAACCGACTGAGCCACCCAGGCGCCCCCAGAGAAGACTTTTGACGGGCAAAGATCTGAAAGAGATGAGGGCACATAGAGAGTTTGGGGGGAGAACATTCCCAGCAGAAGGAACAGAAAGGGGGAAGGCCTCGTTGCTGGAGGCCATGAGGGTGGGCAGGGCCATGAGGTCGTAGAGGCCAGCTGGGGTCCAATCAGCTTCATCAGCCATGGGGTGTTTTCTCCAGGAGTCGCCAGAGGGTTTGCGGCAGAGTGACTGTGTTCTGCGGCCCGGCACCACCTGACCACTCTTCTGTCCCCAGGCTGAAGCGGTATGGAGAGCGAACAGAGAGTGTCCCGAAAAGGCCGTAAACTGGGCTCCAGCCGCCGCCGGCAGATGCGAGAAGCAGCTGACAGCCCGGATGCCCCCGTGGCCCCAGAGCCAGAGTCCTGGCCCCCGCAGGCGGCCGCGGAGCTGCAGGCCTTCTTCCAGGACTGTGGTGCCAAGGAGAGGGGCTTTGTCACCCGCGAGGACCTGGCGGTGAGTCCCAGTCCCTAGCTCATCCTGAGTCCCCTTTCTTTTCTTTTTTTAATGTTTATTTATTTTTGAGAAAGAGACAGAGAGAGAGCAAGGGAGGGGCAGAGAGAGAGGGAGAGGATCCGAAGCGGGCTCCTTGCTGACAGCACAGAGCCCGATGTGGGGCTTGAACCCACAAACCACAAGATCATGACCCGAACCGAAGTCAGACGCTTAACTGGCTGAGCCACACAGGCGTCCCCTGAATCTGTAGCTTCCTGAGACTTCCCATCCCAGGAAGGTAGGGCCTGCCTGCCCTTTCTTCTTTCTCTCTTCCAAAATTTGCTCTCAAAGAGGAACTCTCGGGCACTGTTGGTAGGAATGTAAATTGGTGCAGCCACTGTGGCAAACACTATGGGGATTCCTCAAAAATTTTGAAATAGAAAAATACCCCCACAATCCAATAATTCAACTACTGGGTATCTACCCAAAGAAAACAAGAACACCAATTCAGAAAGATATATGAACCCCTGTGTTCATTGCTGCGTTATTTACAATAACCAAGATATAGAAGCAACCTAAGTGTCCACTGATGGATGAAAGGATAAGGAAGATGTGGCATATAAATACAATGAAGTCGTAGTCATACAAAGAAGGAGATCTTCTCATTTGTGGCAACATGGATGGGCCCAGAAGGTTTTATAGTAAGTGAAATAAGTCGGAGAAAGACAAATACTATATGATTTCACTTATATGTAGAATTAAAATTGAAACAATGGAACAAGCAAACAAAAAGCAGAAACAGGCCCATAAAACAAACTGGTTGCCAGAGGGAGGTGAGTAGAAGACCGGCAAGGGGTGCCTGGGTGGCTCAGTCAGTTGAGCATCAGACTTCAGCTCAAGTCATGGCTTCACGGTTTGTGGGCTCGAGCCCCACATCGGGCTCTGTGCTGACAGCTCGGAGCCTGGAGCCTGCTTTGGATTCTTTGTTTCTCTCTCTCTCTACCCCTCCCCGGCTCGCACTCTGTCTCTCTGTCTCTCTCAAAAATAAATAAACATTGGGAAAAATAAAAGGTCAGGTGAAATGGGTGATGGGAAGCGGGGAGTAGAGGCTTCCAGTTATGGAAGTCATGGGGATGGAAGGCACAGCATTGGGAATACAGTTAAGAGTATCGTAGGGGCGCCTGGGTGGCTCAGTCGGTTGAATGTCCAACTCTTGGTTTCAGCTCAGGTCCTGATGATCTCCCTACGTCGGGCTCTATGCTGACACTACAGAGCCTGCTTGAGAATCTCTCTCTCCTTCTCTTTCTCTACCCCTCCCCAGCTCATACCCTCTCTCACTCTCTCTCTCTAAAAAAAAAAAAAAAAAAAGTATTGTAATAGTGTTGTATGGTGGTAGCTACACTTGTGGTGGGTACAATATAGACTTGTCAAATCACTATACTGTATACCCGAAAGTAATGTATCATTGTCTGTCAACTACACTTCAATTAAAAATTAACTAATTAATTAAAATATAAAGATCAGTGGGCAAAAAGCACAATGTATATATCAGGCATTTATGTTTGTATGCAAAGAAATGTTTTCCATTGTTTTGTTTTGTTTTGTTTTTTGTTTTTTTGAGCTGGTTGCCTGAAGAACACATTTGTTACATGATAACATTAATGTTTTTGTTTCTGGCACAAAGTATTACTTTTTTTAAAGATTCAAGTTAGTTAACTCACAGTGTAGTATTGGTTTCAGGAGTAGAATTTAGTGATTCACCACTTACATATGACACCCAGTGCTCATCCCGACAAGTGCCCTCCTCAATGCCCCTCATTCATTTAGCCCATCCCCCCACCCAGCACCTCACCAGCAACCCTCAGTTTGTTCTCTGTATTTGTCTCTCTTCTGTTTTTTTTTATGTTTATTTATTTTTGAGAGAGAGACAGAGTGTGAGCAGGAGAGAGGCAGAGAGAGAGGGAGAGACAGAATCCAAAGCAGGCTCTAGGCTCTGAGCTGTCAGCACAGAGCCGCAGGTGCGGCTCGAACTCATGACATGAGTCGAAGTTGGACACCTAACCAACTGAGCCACCTGGGTGCCCCTGTATTTAAGAGTCTCTTATGGTTTGCTTCCCAAAACGTTCTCTGTTAATGGACAAATACACATGATTTCTGAGGCAAGTAAATAAATTAAAAAAAAAATTGCTCTCAGAAAACGTGAGGGATTTGTTTATATTAATGTGTAAATGGCTGACAAGACATTCTGTGTGCCACTCTTCCAGAAACATATGCATTTTAACAAAGGAAAGGCCTTCAAGCCAAAGAAGGAACTTGCGAATGATAGAATTTCGGGCCCATCGAGCAGGGGAGTTTATCTTGGGGAACAGTCAGAGTCCTGGAAGCCAAACCATGTCGATGACTGTAAACATCAGCGAAACTATAAGATCAGCGTGGTTGTGTGTCCCAATAACGAGCCTGAGGCTCTGGCCTAGACCGACATTGACCAGGTCTTCTTTGGTTTTTCCTCATTCTCTGCAAAGGGGCCCATGAGGGTTGTGGAGTCACATTGGGCCTGCCCGTCTCCTCCGGACACTGCTCTATGCTCCAGACCTTGTCCTTCCCCCATCAGAACTGACCTTTCTTGTGTTCCAGACTCAGGGCCACAAGGTACAAATAAATGGCCGATGTTAATCAGGGCACCTGGGTGGCTCAGTCGGTTAAGTGTCTGACTTCAGCTCAGGTCACAGTCTCACAGTTCGAGAGTTCGAGCATCGTGCCAGGTTCTATGCTGACAGCTCAGAGCCTGGAGGCTGCTTCAGATTCTCTATCTCCCTCTCTCTCTGACCATCCCCTGCTCACGCTGTCTTTCTCTCTCTCAGAAATAAATAAAACAGGGGCGCCTGGGTGGCTTAGTGGGTTAAGCGTCTGACTTTCGCTCAGGTCATGATCTCGTGGTTCGTGGGTTCGAGCCCCGCGTCGGGCTCTGTGCTGACTGCCCGCTCGGAGCCTGGAGCCTATTTCAGAGTCTGTGTCTCTCTCTCTCTCTGACCCTCCCCTGCTCATGCTGTCTCTCTCTCTCCTAGAAATAAATAAAAAAAAATTTAAAAAAAAAAGAAATAAATAAAACAGTAAAGACTTTTTTTAAATAAAATAAAATTTTAAAAAATTAAAAAAAAATCTTCAGGGGCACCTGGCTGGCTCAGTCAGTAGAGCATGTGACTATTGATCTCGAGGATCATGAGGTCAAGCCCCCACATTGGGTGTAGAGATGACTTTAAATAAATAAATAAGACTTTCTAAGGGGAGCCCCTGCCAACTCCCTAGAATAATTCAGTCTTAAAAAAATATATATATACATAATTTTCAAAAAGATAACAAATAGACTTTCAAGTAACTATAAAATCAACGCTTATCAAAGGTCTTATCTAATGAATTATTACTGTTAATTAGTGAAGGAGCCAGTAAGATGTTACAACTGGCCCAAAAAAGTATGTGAGGAGCTAGGATACAGTATTTAAAGGCAATTTGACAGCACCGTGTTAGGATAAGATTGCTGAGTTCAATTTTTAACATGGCTGATTTCCCACAGGCCATAAATCTTTGGGATTATCTGTTCTACTAGACGAAAATTATTTTCATCTCTCCTGGGCAAAAATCTACAAGTTAACAAATAACTTCAGCAAGCCTGTGACTTTTAATTAAAGATAAACAATGAGACGGACTGAGCGCATTCCTTTAGTCTAGACAATGCTTGAAGGGACACGCTCTCTCTACCTTTCGACCTGGTTTCCAAGTCTCCAATTATTCACGTAATTTTCTGTGATGATAAATAATCTCCCAAGCTTATTCTCAACATAAAAGAGCCTTTTATATTGAGAAAGTTTTCCGTAAGTGCATCCTTGAGTGTGCTCTACAAATCTAGACTTCGAAGGTATGAAGCCATTTTAGCTCTGTCTAAAAATTTTCACAGAACCTTAGATTTAAAACCTCTATTATTTGCTCTTCTGGGTAGAGTGAATGTTTGTCCCAGTTTCCCCGGGACTGGAGGGGTGCCTGGGATGGGAGACTTCCAGTGTTCCAACTGGGAAAGTCTGGGGCAGACTGGGTCTTGCTGGCCACCCTAGTTTCTACCCTCAGGCCAGGAAACTAAACCCAAGACTTTTCTCTCCACCAACTTTTTACCTGCAGCCCCTATAAATGCAAGCGGTTTCCTTTCTTCTTGGGGTTCCCAATTTTTCTAAGGTCCCTCTCCTGCCCAGAAGTGGCCTTCTTTATCAACTGGTTCCTGGACAGGTTTTTGGAAGGGTTTCACAGACATTGGTTCCATGGCTGCTCTTTACAATAGACTTGTCATGTCTGATTAAGTGAGAATCATTCTCCTCCATGACTCTCTGGTTACACAGTTGATTCATCCAACTATATCCCAACAGAAAGGAGGACAGATTCTTACTGAGCCCCTGTAAATAATTCTTTTACCAGGGAAAGTAAGGAGTTCAGTAAAAGTATTGTGTTTTTTTGTTTTGTTTTGTTTTAGTTTTTTAATTCTTGAAAGAGAGACAGAGCATGAGCAAGGGAGGGACAGAGCAAGCGAGGGACACAGAATCTAAAGCAGGCTCTGGGGGCACCTGGGTGGCTCAGTTGGTTAAGCGTCCAACTTCAGCTCAGGTCATGATCTCACGGTCCATGGGTTCGAGCCCCACGTCCAGCTCTATGCTGACAGCTAGCTCAGAGCCTGGAGCCTTCTTCAGATTCTGTATCTCCCTCTCCCTCTGACCCACCCCTGCTCATGCTGTCTCTCTCTCTCTCTCTCTCTCTCAGAAATAAATTTTAAAAATTAAAAAAAAAAAAGCAGGCTCTGGGCTCTGAGCTGTCAGCACAGAGCCTGATGTGGGGCTCGAACCCACAAGCCACGAGATCATTACCTGAGCCGAAGTCAGACTCTCAACTGACTGAGCCACCCAGGTGCCCCCAAAGTATTGGTTTCTAACACAGGAGGGGGTCAGTGAGATACAGATGGTATTTAAAATGTTCAACCTCAG